GGGAAATTAACACGGTTATATAATAATGAAAACAACAATGGCAAAGAAGAGAGTGACGCTGCAAAGTGAACCATCTTGGCTGCTGCTCCTTCAGTGTCCACCAATGGGACTGGTTTCTAGCTTCCAGAAGGCTTGCCCCCTATGTACCCAAACGCTCTGATCATAGTTCAGCAATGTATTCAGCACATTATTAAAGGAGCTTTCATCTGGAAGTGAAATATGGCCTTCCACACTTTGTGTGCCATCACTAACTGTGGGCATTGGGTCAATGTGACCTTTTCCTTTACTTACAAGCTTGACAAAACCTCTTCTATTTCTCAAATCTAAGGTGACAATAATTGTACGAGATTCTATTTTTTTATGTAGCAATGAAGAATACTGCCAAGGACACCATGGCATTGTTTGTGAGGGCCATCCCAATTTCAGAGCTAGGAAAAGAAATAGGCACTTACAGGAAAACTGGTATAGTACATAATAGCCACATACGCATATTATGTACAGAGCTTATCTGTGCATTTTAAACATGTCTTGGGAATCACTAAATAAAATATGCAATGTTACTTCACATTTGCAGAGAAGCTTTCTTCTTTATGCTATCAGCAATGAAAGAAGGAAAGTAAGACACTGGAAGATTTCTAAATGTTATTCATGATCTGATATGCAGGGCTAAGGGGAAGATGGAGATGCACCCTGGTCTGGAGGGAAGTCGGTGGCAGAAATGTCACAGACAGAAATGTGACAGAATGACCATGGCAACATCCGTTCATTAATACCCGAGTGAGTCACACTAAGGAAATTACTGTGAAGAGATTGGATGGCATCCTTGCCATCAGGAGGCATAACGACTAGTGGTTGGGCTGCGTTAAGACAATCAGAGACACAGGTGCACCATTACAAACTGAGCGAGGTGATATGAAGCACAGGAACAAGAGCTAGCCACACACACGGGAACAATGAAACCTGGCTTTATCTGCACTTCTGCCGGAGGACAGAAAACAAGTCCTCTGCCAAGAAGTCTTTAAACTGATACCTGGAATAGCAGATTGGGAAGGAGGTGCTGTTCCCAGCTTAACGAAACCATGTACCTGCATTGAGATAAGAAAGGAATGGTTCTTTCAGAAACTGAGGAAAGACAAGTTTGTAAGGGTAGATAGAGAAGAGAAAAAGAAGAGCTAAAGGCAGAGGGAAGTCTACACAGAGGCCTGTAGGTTACTAGTAGCATTAAAGTAGTTTGGTGAGAAAGGAAATAGGCCAGGTGCATTAAGAGCAGATAAAGCTGAGAGTACCAATGAAAACCAACGACAACCTAACGATTGAGGGCCTACAAAGATGGCTTATATTTTTGGTTGTGAACCTAGCCTTTAATGGCTGAGCCATCTCTCCATCCCCACAATATATACTCACTTATAAGTGGATACTACACCTATAAGATAGGACAAACATACTAAAATCTGTACATCTAAAGAAACTAAACAAGAAGAGGTTCTGGGGTAAGATGATCAATCTCACTTAGAAAGACAAATGAGATGGAAACTGGAAGTAGGAGAAAACAAGAAACAGGAGAGAAGCCTACCACAGAGGGCCTCTGAAAGACTCTACTTAGCAGTGTATCAAAATAGATGCTAAGACTCATAATCAAACTTTGGGCAGAGTGCAGGGAATCATATGAAAGAAGGGGGAGTTAGTAAGACCTGGAGAGGACAGGAGCGCCACAAGGACCAAATATATCTGGGCATAGGGGTCTTTTCTGAGACTGATTCTCCAACCAATGACCATGAATGGATATAACCTAGAACCCCTGCTCAGACATAGCCCATGGCAGCTCAGTATGTCTCTGACATGAACTCAGTGGCTGGCTTTGACCTCCCCACCTCCCCGCGAGGGAGGAGCAGCCTTGCTAGGCCACAGAGGAGGATACTGCAGCCAGTCCTGATGAGACCTGATAAACTAGGGTCAGATGGAAGGGGAGTGGACTTGGAGAGGGGCAGGGAGGAGATGAGGGAGAGAGGATGGGATTGGGAGGGATTGAGGGAGGGGGCTACAGCTGGGATACAAAGTAAATAACCTGTAATTAATATAAAAATAAAAATTATAAAAATAGATGGCTTAGTCAAAAAACCACCTGTTATGCAAGCAGGACAACCCTAGTACAGACCCCATCACCCACATAAAAACAAACAAACAAAAATCAAAACAAAAAACATATGCAATCCCAGTTCTGGGAAGGCAGAGACAGGTGGATCTTTAGAACTAACTGGCCAGTCAGTCTAGCTTAATCAGCCAGATCTAGGATCAGTAAAAGATCCTGGCTCAAAAATTAAGGTAGAGAGTGATAAATAAAGATACTTGACATTGACCTCTGGTCTCCATCATTTTCATGTACACATATATGTACCCATACCAACACACATATACACATGTACACACACCACACAGACATTCTGACACACACTCACACCCATACACACACACACACACACACACACACACACACACACACACACAGATAAAGAAAGAGAAACTCTGTTTAAAAACATTATAAGCAAGTTAAAGTACACATGAAATGAAGAAAATAATTAACAATCCACCTGGCATCCTAGTAAGGAAAACGTTGAAGCCTATGCTTTCTATGGATTTAACCACCGTGTAGAAATTCTGTTAGATTTGGTGGGTCAAATCTGGAACATCAGCTACTTAGGAAGCAAAGAAAAGAGTATGGCAAGCTCAAGTTCTGCATGGACTACTGAGAGAGCTCAAGGCCAAACTGGTGGAAGGCTTGCTTAAAACAGAATCTAGTTCACTAGAAGCATATTATCATGAGAACACTTTACAGTAAAATTGCATGTGTTTTGTATTTACCTATAGCATTCCATCTTAAGAAAATACTAAAAAATAAATATAAGGACTAGAGAATCACTTATTTTTCTATACTTTTTTCTAATTGTTTTTTCTTCTTTTGCACATTAATAACTCCATGCTGCTCTCTAGTGGTAAGTGAAGAAAACAGTCCATTAGAAAGTTTTGCCTTTTGACACACATCAACCTACAAGAAAAGGTATATACCATGAGTATAATTTCTTAATCTGCTATGATTTACTGCAGATAAAGAGCCATTTAAAATTACTGCTTTTTATCTATTATGTGGAAATAAAAGAACATAAATTGTTACTTGTATTAAAAGCAATTTTGTATTATTTATCTGGCACCTTGAACTATTTTTGCACCCTACCAAAAGCATCTCAGTAAACAAGGAATGGTGGCTTATGCCTTGAACCTGAACATCTGGGAGATTGAATTAGGAGGAGTGGCATGAGTTGGAGGCCAGTGTGGGTTATGTAGTGAGTTCCAGGCAATCCAGAACTGAAAAATTAAAGCTTCTATCTCAAACAAGAAAGCAAACATCCAACTTATAATAAATGCCTCCTCAGTCTCCCATTCTCCCACCACATCTCTAAGCTTTAGAACTGAAATGACAGTGAACCTCTCAATTCTTACCAAAAGGATGTGCCCTCTGTGTGTGTGTGGAGGGGGAGTACCTGAATTTTTTTTATTACATTAAACTATGTTACATGGCTAATAGTTTAATTTGAATGGCTAAAGTGTTTATCATTATAATAGACTAGTGATAATTTAGAACTTAAAAAGTATATTGGAAAGATGCTTAGTGTTTCTATTGCTGTGAAGAAACACCACACCCAAAAGCAACTTAGGGAGGAAAGGAAAGGGTCTATTTCTCTTATACTTCCAAGTAACAGTCCATCACTGAGGAAAGTTGGGGCAGGAACTCAAGCAGAGAAGGAATGTGGAGGGAGGCAGGGACTCATGCAGAAGCTGTGAAGAAGTGCTTCTAAATAGTATGGTCCTCACAGCTTGCTCAGCCTGTTTTCTTACATAATCCAGGACCAGTAGCCCAAGGGCGTCGCCCCCCCCCCCCATAACGGGCTGGACCTTCATACATCAAGCACTAATTAAGAAAATACCTTAGCTTTCCTACAACCTGATCTTATAGAAGCAGTTTCTCAATTGAGTTTTTCTCCTCCCAGATTACTATAGTTGTTTGTGACATAAAATGAGCCAGGACAAAGGCCTTGTGAGAAGAACAAACCTGACACAGCTTGATTGTTACAACGATTTTGGTGGAACGGATTGTTTTTTTTTTTTGTTTTTTTTTTTTAGTGAGAAAATAAAAATCCAATTGAAGAGACAAATTGTTTGAAAGTGAGTGTCTGCAATGGGATAAGAACAAAAGTGGAATTATTTATTTGACAAAACCCCCAAAGGACAATTATAAAACAAACTTAGAAGACCCTTTATCATGATATCTAGGTGGATAAAAAGGAAATCTCAAAGAGATGACAGTGCCAATAACATAGCCAGTCTGTCAACTATGCTGCTGGAGTTTTGTTTAAAATTTGGTGCTCAGTTTCTAAGCCACCAAAGAAATAGGTGCTGTGTCACATACTTTCTGCACCAAGGGTGAGATTAAAAAAAGAAAGCTAACTGCTTTCTGCTCATAATTCTAGATCTGGCTTCTGGTGGACAAATCATAAGGTCAACTAGTGAGTCAGGGAGAATTAGTGCACATTTGGAAATGAGACATTTGGCTTGTTGCTTTCTTTCCGTTTGCTTTTAGGAGGCGAAATGGATGCCGCTCAAGGTCAGGTAAACCAACTTGACCCAAACACAGCAGGTGTATGGGCAGCATGTCTGCACATGTAATTTCTCTACTGAGATATTCCTGCTTCAGAGACAAGCTGACAGCACACAAGTACGTAATGTACAGCCTTGAGTGAGAGCCTGACATACTTACTATGTATACCTGCAGAATTTATTTTTATGTTAGGGCAAATGTCCTTGAGGGTAAAGGTCCCCTTGAACATTTCATTGAGGACATGCAATGCGTATGAAAAATTTATTGATGAAGGAAGAAGCTGAATCTTACCACTGGTGGGTTCTTGTCATTACTATTATTATTATTTAAACTGGGGAGTTATGTTTACCTTGTAACAGTCGCCTCCAGGAATGACTTCATGAATATATACCAACGGTCCTTCGTTCCTGTTAATTCCACCCTGGATCTTCAGACCTAGACCTGTTTCCTTAGGAACTGAAATCACTTGAAAGGCAGGATCCCTACGATGAAACAGATCAGTTGTTTGTTAAATAAAATAGCCAGATGTAGATAACCCAAATAGTTTGTGCCTACTCACAACGACACTTGAACCATATCATAGAAAAGAAGTCAAACTAATTTTTGTGTTTTAAATTCTCACATAAAACAATTAGTGACAGCAGCAGTGCTGATTTCTTAGGAGTAAAAGAAACAGTTTTTATAAGCTGCTTAGGTAAATTCATGAATTTATTGAAAAGTGCCCAAGATTTGTTTTTTTTTTTTTTTTTTTTTTTGCTTTTTTTTTTTTTTAACTTGTTCATAGGATTAAAGTGAAGGACTCAAAAACCAAATGTGTTCACATACCAGGTAAGCAATTACTTAAAGCAAAATAAATTTACTTCCATGTAAATCTCAAAAAATTATCCTTTTAATTTAGGGAGAGAATTTTATTGTTACAAGGCACTTACTCCAACTGTAGTTTTTGCTACACAAGAGAAATGCCATGCCATCAAAAGAGAACTGTCAGAAGAACTCTACAAAACTCTACAAAACTTTGTGTCACAAAGTTGTATTTTTGAGCCCTGTGGTTGAACAAAACTTAAGTAAACTCAGAAATAAATCTTAACTGAGACCTCTGTTAAGAGATATGAACATAATACACTGATAAATTTAATATTTATAAAACCCTCTGTCCAAGTTATTCACACACGCGCACACACACACACACACACACACACACACACACACAAACATACCCTTTCATTTTAGACTATTCTGAAATAATGGCATACATACATATAAATGCCTATGTATACATGTATATGCATTTGCTTATGCAAAAAGGACAAGCAAAAAAGAACTAACAATGACAGTGATTATCTACAGGAAGACTGAGGACACAGGAAAGCATAAGGATTAGAGTAGATCTTCCCTGTTTGAACCTTGGAAAAATATATGTTTATATATGTTATATGTTTATAAAATATTTACCAGTTTCTCTGGTTGCTATCCACTAGCTGCTCAGCAGAGATCTTTCAAAAAGTCATCATTATCTTTACTGCTTGAATTTGGACTTGCCTATTGGATTACTTTGCTCTATAGGATATCAGCAGTATTAAAATGTGAGGAAGATAGGTATTTGTAAAACATTTATGCTGCCCGCTAGGAACTGTTCTGCTATTCTTTGATGAGGCCCAAGTTAGCCTTCTGAAGGCTGATAGATTGGGGTAGAAAGTGAATTCCACCACCCAGCCTTCTGAGGTGTCACACACTGTTATGCCAACTATTTTCAGCAAGAATTTTCCAGGCAACCTACAGAACTGTCAGAAAAAAATAAAATCTTACTGTGTTAAGACATTTGGGGATAGTTAGTCAGAAAAAAAACCTAATCCTATATAAGTTCACAAGAATTATACCAGATCTTTTCTTTTCTTTCTTTCTTTTTTTTTTCTTTTAGAACAATCTGTACAAGGGATTTCAAAGAGAATGCAGGGTTTCTTTCTTTTAATTTGATTTTTGAGAAATCCCATTTTGAGACAGGGTTTCTCTGTGTAGCTTTGGTTGTCCTAGACTCACTTTGTAGACCAGGCTGGCCTCAAACTTACTGATATTTGCCTGCCTCAGCCTCCCAGAATGCTGAGATTGCAAGCATGCACCACCACGCCCCGCTTGAGAATGCAGGGTTTCTCTGGGTATTGATTTACACTGCACTACGGTCCCCCAAAGGCCCCTGTTTTAAAAGGCTTGGCTACTAGCTTGAAGTGCCATTGAGAAGTTGCTGGTGGTACCCTTAAGTTGCTGGTGGTACCCTTAAGAGGCAGGGCCTAGTTGTAGAGCATTAGATTTTCCAGGGGATGGCCCTGAAAGCGACACTGAGACTTGCTTTCTGGCCATTGCGCAGTGAAGAGACCACCTGAAACATGATGTTGCCGTGTCCCCACAGGCTCAAAGAAAAGTGAACACACTGAGACGCTGAAACCTGAGCCATGAGTCTCCCATGTTTCAAAGGTGATTATTATCATAGGTATGGAAGGCTCTCTAGCACATGCCAAGGCCCAAATAACGCAACGTATTACTTTACTCAGTATTGCTTCCCTAGGCCACATGGATTCAAAACAAAGTGAAACCTAAACTGAATGCTCACTAATAATATACACATTTCAAAACATATTAAATTACACTTAAAAATTACCTTTCAAGTAAGCTGGATGGTTGCGTAGCAGATGTATCTTTATCCATACTTTTATCACTGTTGCCTTAGATTCAACAAAGATGCAAATGAAGAACTTGGGGAGTCTAAATGTTCTTCTTTTCCTCACACTAGAAAATCAGAAAATCATTTTTCAAGTCTTAGAACATTCCAGTGTAGTTCCGACATTACATAAAGTCATTATATATACTTGGTGATAAACAAAATACGGACATATATTCATATTGGTTTATTTTCTTTATCATGGTGCATTTTCTTTATACATCACTAATATATTAATATTGGTATATTTTATTTATTTATGACATTTTAGACATTGATGATAACACTTGAAGCATCAAGCCAGCTCTCCATATATAGATGTGCCTATCCCTACAGCACTATGAATGTATAAATCCGTGCTCTTTAGTGCAAGCGAGGAACACAGTGATGTTTGCAGCAGTGATTACAACAAGCAATAAGCTTAAAAAAATGCGAAAGATTGGAGAGGGCCTCCTGTGAGCACAAGGCTGTGGAGCGCAGTCAGAAGAATAATTACACAACACACTAGAAGAAAACAGCAATTCCTATCTCACCAATTCCCCCGAGGGTCTTCCCGCAGAGTCTATGACTCCAGCTCATATTACTCCACTGCACGTGTTTCTTAAATTCTTTCCTAGGAAAAGGAAAAAGACATTGTTTTAATGTCTTGTTTAATCCACAGTGAATAATACAGAGTTGCTTAATTAAAACAAACTACGTTCAGGCACAGATTCACTACCTGTGAGTGGGAAATATGAATGAAGCCTAGGAATTCCCTTTAACACCATAAATGTACACTATGTGTAATCCTTTAATCTCTTTTACAAGTATACTCCTGGGAGGGAGAGAAGATACATTCTAAGGTCTAAGGTGTCATTTTTAACCAAAGTGCAGGTTTTTCTTTAAAACTTTTTTAACTGTGAGAAGGTATAATTGATTGAAAATGGCCAGTATCTTAAAGTTGTAAACCACATTTGGATCATTATGTACAACCAATTCACTGAAGAACCGAGTGAGGAGACTCAAAGGCATTGTGCTTTTCCACATGGATGCACAGTGCCTGCTTCCTCAGCTGGAACTGGGCTATAGAGGCTACAGCAGAATTCTTGGCATTCATTACCTTGGCTCCTATTGACGTTTCTTTCCAGGCTTCTCTAAGTTTCCGCTAAACTGACACAACAGGCCCCTGATAATACTGATGATTTCATCAGTGTATATACACATAGTAGAAACTTAACAAATTGCTCCCTTTACCTTATGCTTGCTTTAAATCAATCACAGAGTCAGAGAAGTAAAACCAGGGACAGGGGTTACCCTACCTTTCCCCCAACCATTGTACACAGGAGATTAAAAACCTCTTTCTACACAAACTGAAGGGACCCTGGACAAAGAATCAACAATCAAGTCTTTAGGGAGCTCAGCCAAGAGTTATACTCCCTGAGTGTTAACATCAGAGCTCAATTTCCTAGCCCTTTAGTAGCAAGCAAGAGGAATAGTCCAGTCATGAGGAGCCAGGGGAATGATGCCACCAAGCCACTGCACTGTCATCAGTAAAACTCCAGCAGTAAGAAAGTTACTCAGTCCTACCCCTAAAAGCGTGGTGGTGGTGATGACTTGAAGAAAGAGCCTTGATTAATACTAACTCTATGTCTAGAGTCACTGCGGCCACACAAAGTTCAATTTTAAAGAAGTGTTTGCCTGAACATTTTAGATTGCTTTAATAATGCCTACATGGGGCAGTCTCAGACCTCAAGAAGACGTTCTGATCTAAAGTAAGAGTAGCTACTGTTTATTGACACCATGTGTCACAGATTATATGAAATATTTCAGATGCATTCACTTTATTTTACACCATGGAAAGTGTAATAGACACAGGGAAAAGAATCAAGTTCACACTACTATACTGCCATGTGCTAGTGACATGCCCTCAGAAGTCAACTAGCCTCTTGGAAAGACAAGAAAACGAAATCCAAGCCTCTTTCCACTGGTTACTCAATTGACTAATATCCCCACCTAGTGGAGGGTTGTTCTTACAGGACATAGGTGCTCAAGTCTCCCTGGAACACATCCAAAAAAACATAAGCATGTGCCAATGCTACGTCTCTATAGTGTATTTCACATAATGCCAAATTAGCATTTTTAAAGAAATCCCATTTAAAAGTATTAAAATTTAAGTGCCCAAATTATTTCACTCATCTAAACATGCCTAGCAGTGCACAGATGGACAAGCGAAACTAGCCTCAGAGACAGTCAGATTCCAAGAGGTGTGAGTGTGCTGAGAGTGGCACACAGGAGGTTGAGGGAGTGTGGAGGAAGCATGCCTGTCCCAGAATTTGGAGTCATTACTAAACATAAATAGAGCTAGGGACTACTGTAGGTTTCCTCCTCCAGGAGCCTCACAAGGTAAACAATATTAATCTGATTTTAGATACAAGTTACAGGGAAACTACACGGCCTATCTACTATTACAAGCCAGATGCAAAGTGTAACTTAAATTATTTTCCCTAGCATTAAAACCCAAACCTTTTCTACTTTAGCATGCTGTGAAATAAATATAAAATTTTCAATCTAAACCCCACCCAAACTGGATGCAATGTTAACAGAAATAATACATTACTTCTTTACATGGAGACGCCAGTGTTGAAACTTCTGCACAATAGCATGAGTTTAATTTTGTCCATCCAAACTACAAGGCTGCATGCGTGTTGTGCTTGTTAATGCAGCTCTGTGCATGTGGGTGCATGTAAAGGCGGGTATATGGTACACCTAACTGGAGCTCAATGTCAGGTGTCTTCCCTTGCCTACTTTCTCCCTCCAGTGTTTCACCAGCATGTCTTGGTGAATCTGAACCTGATCAACTCAGCTAGCCTAGATGGCCAAGAGCTTTAGGGCTGGGGTAACAGGAGTGGACTACCATCCTCGATTCTGAGGATACAAACTCAGGCCTTTCTGCTTGTTTGGTAGGCATTTTACTGGCTGAACTATCTCCTTAGCAAGACCCAAGATTTCTGAAACTTTATTTTGTATGTGTGCCCCTTCACCCATGCTGGTTTCCTGCCTTTTTCTTTTTTCATTTACACGTGTGTAGTACACCTGTGTTTGTGTGGGTGTGTGTACATGCAGGTGTGCATCCAAGTGCCTGTGGAGAGATTGACATCAGGTGTCCTCCTTAGGCATTCTACATCTTAGATTTTGAGGCAGGAACTCCCGCTGGACCTAGGGATCACTGATCTGATAGAGAGATTTGTCTCTATTTCCTCAGCCTGGGGACAACTGAAGGATTCCATCAAACCAGGCTTTTCACGTGGGTGTGAAGGTTTCCCTCCTGAGCCATCTTTCCTGCTCTGTACCCCTTTCTTTTATACAAGCTTGTAAGCCCGTTAATCAGTAGAGGTTCTAATAATGTTACACATGTATGTCCCCACCACTTTGACAGACGACAGAGAAGCAAAGCACTTGTTTTTTTACTAAAACTATAAGTACTCAATGAAGACATATTGCTTATCCAGCTTGCTGAGTCAGAAGAGAGAAAAGATAATGTCAGCAAAAACAGAATCTGGAACAAGACAGAAAGCACTTTGTTTTATATGATGAATTTACCTCAGAAAACATGGCTTTACTGTGATATATCAATTTCTTCTCTTACAACTTAATTAAATTATAATAATCCAAATCTGATTAAAAAAATTTACCATCATGCATACAATCTCTGATTAAGATGTGGCAATTTAGTTTCAATAACTTCTAAAAATGAGGTATTTTACTGTATCAAAAACAAAAAAAAATAGGTAGGCATAAAAATATATCAGAAATGAGTAAATATGAAGAGGATGAAATCACAAGGCATGTCATAAAGCAACTGATACAAATTTCAACTATTCCCCCAAATAGTGTCTATTGTTCCGAATGAAATCAACATGATTAACACGGTTAATTTCTGAATCTTAAGTCTTTTTAATGAAAATTTTTATTAAGAAAGATAGAGTTTTACTTCTTTCCTTTTGCTTTTAGATCTATTTTAGGGGAAAAAAAAAGAAAAGAAAAACAACAAACCACTTATTTTGTCGTTTTCTATTTATTTATTTTTCTGTTTAATATCCCTCAGTCAGCACTAAAACTTCAAATACGTTTTCCTCTCTTTGTTTTTGGTTGTCCGCATTTTTATGTAAAAATATGTGACTGAGTTCACTGATCCTTGATGGTTTCTGTATTTAAGTTTGAACTAAAAATTCCTTTCCCACTCCAAGGTCAGTAAGTCAATTCCATGCATTTTCTTAAAAATCCTTGCTAACCATCTTAGCATGAATATAAAATACAGACCCAACCCTGACCTTTCCTCCCTGGAAAGGTCTCTGCATGTATGAGTCACATTTATGAGCAGTTTGCCACCTCTGACTTGAGATGCAACCTTCCCCCACACACCAATTCTTGTATTTGAATCGTTCTTGTCATTTTCATTTGATTCCTTTGATTAGCTTATTTATGTGTGCACTAAAATTAATCTACTTTAATTACACAGGCTTTATAATGTTCCTACATCTGGGAAAACCAATTCTCCCTTGTTAATTTATTTAGCCAACTTGTCCTAGCTGTTTTGGATTTTGATATGTACATATTAATTTCAAAGTTTCCTTAATTAAAAAATAGACAAAGCAATGGTATTGTTAGAAAATCATACTAGACTTATAAATTGAAAAGGTATTAGTACCTTTTGTTTATAATGTTACTTTCAGTCAAAGAACTTGGCGTATCTTTTGTGACTTCCTATAGGGTTATAAAGTTGTCTTTATATCAATCTTGTACATTTATAAATTAACTTTTAAATTCTTTTGTTACACCTTTTAAAGATCTATTTGGTGGGCCATGCATGATGACCTGACTTCCACCTCCAGCATCCACGTAAAAAGTTGAATACACTCGTAATCCCCATGACAGTGAGCATGAGAAGGGAGGATCACTGGGGCTTGCTGGCCAGCAAGAAGAGCAAATCTGTGAGCTCCAGGTTTAGTGAGATTATCTGGTCTCAAAAAGAAAGGTGGAAAGTGATAGATGAAACCTGTTGGCAACTTTAAAGTACCCCCAACACAAACGCAAACACACACAACATGTCCATGCACATTCATGCAGACTCGCTCATGAATGTACCTACATATGAAAACACACATGGGCAAACACGCACGCACACACTAAATACTTTGTAAATGACAAAAGGGCTGCCTAACTGTAGTATCTTCTAGAAAATAATTTCTCTCCTACTTCAAGCTCTATAAATTAGATAGCTTCAATTAAAAAACGCTATGGGCAGACCAACTAATAGCAGTACAAGTACACACACATACACCTTTTTCTTGTAGACTGCACATCTGCAATATGTTGATTTATATACAAGTGCATTGTAACACCTCAGCACACTCAGGCAAACGAAATCTCCTTATCATAAACCATTAGATTTTTTTTTTCTGCTGTCACTGCAAAGATTAAAATAATACATCTTGAATACTCATAGGAGCTTTGTAAGCAGAGCAGAATTCCCACCCTTCCTTGACAGCGTGCTTCAATATTCACTTCAAAGCACTTCACAAGCTGCGAGGTCAAGAACTTCCAATGTCTCTCCAACAGTCTGTCCTCAGCACAGAGATCGCTAGAAGGAAAACAGAAGGACAAAGTATGATACCAGTCAGGGAGAGATTTGTTGGTTTAATAGCAAGGCTGCAAAAATCTACTAATGATAATAATAGCTTCATAAGCTCCCAGGAAAGCTTCTTTTCCAGAGACGTCTGGCCACATAATAGGTCTCTGAAGATGCACATGTCTTTTCCAATTGACACAGGGGGAATTGCTAGTTCCCACTGTGTAAGAGCTCACCGCATAGTCAGAGAAGGAGCAGAGAGTGCCTAATGAGGCTCTTCGCAAAGCTGCGGACTGTTCTTCTCATGAATACAGGGGGAAATGTGACTGGGAGTGAGGGGTTCACATGCTTTGTAAAGTATTTAGTTTTCAGGAAAGAAATACAGAGGCTTGGGCACAACATGATATATCTAAAGAAAAAAAAGCTAACTATGGCTTATAAAATATCCATTGAATTAAAAAATCTAACACACTAAGTAATTATGAACAGTAAAAGGTGGTATTAGGTGAGCACTCTGCTACATTCCTGTAATACCAGCACAAGGAGGCTGAGGAAAGAGAGGGCTTGAGTCTAAAGCCAGAGAGAACCTGTCTCAAGAAATAAACAAAAATCCCCAAAATAGAAAAAGAGAAAAGGGATGGTTAGAAAAAAGTGAGAGGGGAAAACAAAACATTTTAAGGATGGGTTTTGGGGAACCCACAGTGATGGTAAATCCAGGGTTTTTATTAAAGGCAGAGTATCTTTTTAAAAACATATAATACTTGCATTTATTCTTTGAGACTATCAGTCATGTATATAATGTATTGTGATCATTTAACCCATTTCTTTCTACAATTCCTTCCACACTCACTTTCCAACCTTACGTCCTTTTATTTTTTTCTCTTTTCTAAAAAGGAACCCATTGGATAAAATTAGTGTTGTCCATGTATCACTGATATGGGGACACTGGGGGGAGTCTTCTAAAGACAGGTATTATGGCTGGTGAGAGTCTAGCAAACATATAAAAATTTTCTCATGAATGCCGTCATGGACTAGTTCATAAATATAAAGCATCTAGCTGGTACTTCTTGGCATATATGCCTGCTAGGTTTTATGTAAACTTGACACAAGCTACAGTCACCAGAGGAGGGAACCTCAATTAAGAAAATTCCTCCCAATTCTCTGAGGAACCTCCAGATTGATTTCCAGAGTGGTTGTACAAATTCACACTCTCACCAGCAATGGAGGAGGGTTCTCCTTTCTCTGCATCCTTGCCAGCATGTGCTGTCACTTAGCCATTCTGATAGGTGTAAGATGGAATGTCAGAGTCCTTTTGATTTCCATTTTCCTGATGACTAAGGACACTGAGGATTTCTTTAAGTGCCTCTCGGCCATTTGAGATTCCTCTGTTGAGAATTTTTTGTTTAGATGTGTACCCCATTTTTAACTTGGATTATTTGGTTTGTTGATGTTTAATTTCTTGAGTTCTTTATATATTTTGGATAATAGCCCTTTGTTAGATGTAGGGTTGGTGAAGATCTTTTCCCCATCCATAGGCTGCCATTTTGTTCTGTTGACAGTGTCCTTTGTCTTACAAAGCTTTTCAGTTTCAAGAGGTTAACAATATTCGGCTGTGCTAGCAGAGGGGAGCCTAGCATAGCTGCCCTCTGAGAGGCCTCACCCAGCAAGAGATCAAAAAAGATACTGAGACAGCCAAACATTGGGCAGAGTGCAGGGAGCCTTGTGGAAGAGTGAGAGGAAGGATAGAAGGACCTGGAGGGAACAGGATCTCCACAAGAAGAACAACATAGGCAACTAACCTGGGCCCATGGGGTCTTGTAGAGACTGAAACACCAACCAAGGATCATGTATGGACTGGACCTAGGCTCCCTATACATATGTATCCAATGGACAGCTCAGTCTTCATATGGGTTCTCTAATAAGGGGAGCAGGGCTGTCTCTGACAAGGACTCTCTTGTATGCTTTTCTGTCACTTCCCCCTACTGGGCTGCCTTGCCAGGCCACTGTGGTAGAGGTTGCATCACTCAGTCCTGATGGGACTTGATGTGTTGGGATGGGTAGTGGTTGGGGTGGGAAGGGGAGTACAGGTAAGCGGGAAAGTGTTTGGGACAAGGAAGGCAGGAGAGAGGGAACTACGATTGGGAAGTAAAGTGACTAGATAGATAGATAGATAATCCCTCCATAAAATTAAGTTGTGCATTTTCTTAACTAATGATTAATGGGGGAGGAGCCAGACCAGTGTAGGTGGTGCCATGCCCCAGCTCCTGGTCCTGGGTTCTATAAGAAAGCAACCTGAGCAAGCTAAGAGGAACAAGCCAGTAAAAACCTGTACTTAATTGCCTTTGTTTCCATTCCTGCCCCCAGGTTCCTGCCCTGCTTGAGTTCCTATCCTGACACCCTCCAATGATGAACAGTGATGTACAAGTGTAAGCCCAATAAACCCTTTCTTCCCCAACTTGCTTTCAGTCATGGTATTTCATCACAACAATACCCTACCTAAGACAACGTAGGTTGTGCAGCAACTGAAAAGTTGAGTCTGGTATGGGACAGCCTACAACCAGGTCATGTATAAGGACCAGAGAAAAATGGGAAAAATGGACTAGTGTACTCATCTCACTCTGTTGTCATTTTAAGAGAGGACAAAGTGATGCTGACTACTCAGTCTAAGAAAAAAAAGTTGTGATATATGTGATTTGACAGTGACTTAGAAGTGGCCACCACTTAGTGATTTTAATGTGAATGTCAAATTAGACAATACATTTCCCGTTATGAAGTAAGACCTACAGGTTCAGATCATCCTGAAGAAAGAAAATGAGCAGCTTTAGAAATGGAGGCAACTTGTACACCACAGCAGAGGTCTTCAAAATAACATCAGCTATGTATACAATCATGGGTTACTTAAAAACACTGGCATGGCAGCTTTCATTCAGGAAAACTACTCTTGCTGGGTGTGGTGGCACACGTCTTTAATTCCAGCACTCAGGGAGGCAGAGGCAAGCAGGTCGCTCTGAGTTCAAGGACAGCCTGATCTACAAAGCCAATCCAGGACAGCCAAGGAGAACCCCTGTCTCGAAACAAAACAAAAAATGAGAGACAGAGAAAGAGAGAGAAAGAGGGAGAGAAACTACTCTCCCCATTCTTGAGTGTTCACTTTTGCTCTCCTTACTTTGTCTCCTCTCTCAAGTCTCTCTGGGGTGGGTGGGGATTAGGAATGCCTCCTTTCACTTTCCTTAACTGATCCTCTTTATGGAACGTGAAATTTTCATAAAGCCAAGATATGAAAGATGACTGAAAGTTACTGCACTATCTCCTTTACTTGGTCTCCAAAGGCAACAGTCCCTCTGCAACTGTACTTCTCTTTTCTTTCAGGAACTCAAGCAGCTCAGGAATGCTGTTCCTTTTTCTTGGAGCAGAAATGTTAAGACTCTGCTGGCATCACACAGCCCAACCTTGTGGAAGATAGGAAATGCTTCAGGAAAGGACTTGGGGCTTTGTGAAACATGAGCTCTTAACAGCACAGTCTCCTGAAACAGCCCCAACTTCTTGCTGTTTGTTTTCATTTCTCTGCTCCTCCACAGGTATCTAAGTTCAATAACAAATAGGTAAAGCACTAAATTCTTGTCCTTGTGAGCAAGTCAAGATTTCTGCAATCAGTGGTGTGAGAAAAACAATAAGCAGCTACAATCAAATGAGTTGTTTCAGATACTGAAAGATAATGTCAAAGGAGACTGGGCAAAGAAAAGCAAATTTCGAGTAGGCATGAGCCAAACAGTAAGAGAGCCACAGCTGAGGAAAAGACAAATGGTTCTTCAACAGCAAAACACATTTGGGTATCTGCAGAACACCAAGAAGTGCAGCCAAACCATAGTGATGGGGACAGGACAGGGTATACAGTAGGCAGGGTCTGTACTACCTAACCTCGTGCACAAAGGTAAGAAGCTTAGATTTTTGACCGATTTTAGTTCAAAGAATAACTTGACTATTCCTAGGAGATCAAGATTTTCCTTTTTACTTTATTCCGTTTTTAATCCAGCTAAGGTTGGGCTCTAGGATTCTGCATTTCCTCTTGGTTTTGTACCTTCGTTGTTTATTACAATAAGCATATTGTTTCATAGCTTGAATCATGCCAGAATGCCAGTCAGTTTTGGGATATAAGTGTCTGTGTGTGTGTGTGTGTGTGTGTGTGTGTGTGTGTGTGTGTGTGTGGTCTGATTTGATCAGGACTGGCTAAAACGCCTAATATACAATGAAAAAGAAAGAGTCCACACTAAGTGATTATTAAAATATTCAAGACAGAAACAAGCAGAGAATTGAATAAATGGAAGACAATCAAAGGTGGGACAATTTAGTATCAGTGTCTTATAGGACTGGACAAGCCACATATCCACGAAGGTGCCTTCACTATGATAAACGTTATTTGAATGAAGGGCATGTATTAATGAATGCCTTCGCATTTTATCATATCCAAGCTCATTTAAGACCATTTACAAGGACCAGTCTGTCAAAAAAAAAAAAAAAAATATATATATATATATAAACAGATGTCAGGAAATAAAAAAGGATACCAAGATATTCTGAGGCAACTTTAAGGCATCACTATGGGACACAGTGATTATCTAGCCTGCTTCAACTAAATTACAACTCATTTTTCTTACTATTTATATAACCATGTATTCCTTCACACTGTGTGCACAATTATTATAATAAATAGATCCAAATACTATTAAAATAATTGCTATGTATCTCATATTGCTGGATGAATCCAGGAACTTTATTAGGCAAATAAACTACTAGGAAATATAGATCAGTGGCTACACATTTAAATTCAAGTTGCAATTATATTATGCTTTAAAGATGTTGGAAAATATGAGCCAGACATGATGGCACACATCTTTAATCCCAGCACTGATGGGACAGGTGGCAGAAGCAAGTGTTTAGGACAGCCTGGTTTACAGAGTGAGTACCAGGACAGCCGGGGCTACATACTGAAATCCTATCTTAAAAAAAAAAAA